ATATCTAGAAAATATTTTGTTAGAAATTTGTATTAAAACGTTGATTGTCACGTAAGTTTTATGTATTTTAATATAGAATTTAAAATATTAAGATAAAATATAAAACAATATGATTGTGCACCAATTGCGGATGACCCTCGTGACTCCATTGAAAAAATAAACGTCAGTCATGAATAACTGACTTAGTGGTCAATGTGTTAAAACGGAAATATTTCTGATGATAAAGTTAAGCAATACACCCTATATATACTTAACACTCTTATACACGTTCTCTTTCGACGTGCATTCAACAAGACAAAAAAAATGGTGGAAAGTTCGAGTTCTCTCAGCAACAGCGGTATTGGCTATGCTCTGTCCTTTTTTAGTTTCTTTCTCTTTTCTTCCAACTCATACTCATTCATATACACATACACACACACACAACATTCCCCTTCTTTCAGTCCTTGAAAAGACCATCAAGAAATAAGATCGAACAGGTCGACCTCACCTTTAAACAGATTGTCCCTTTTAAATAAGATGCAGCAGCATTATTATTACGGTCAGAATTAACGAGAAAAAATAAGAGAAAATAAGACGAATGATAAAATTGATGGCGAAAAGAAAATGAGTTTGCAATTCGTTTAATTTACCAGGAATAATTAATTCGTAATTAGTCGTAATATTGCATCCTCCTAAACTCGACCAAAATCTTGTTTTAAAACTATCAACCTTCTTTAATCATAAGAATAATTATTATTAACTAATCAACAAAAAAATAAATTACTTTATTTAGTAGGTATTTGCTAGAGTAAGTAATAAGTAATGTCAAATGATAATAAGTAATTGAAACTTGTTATATTTTGATTGAAAATTATATTGATATAAAAATATCAACATTTTCATTAAATATACTAAACACTTCAATTACTTTGAAACACCATCCTAATTTTAACTAAACAAGGCCCATTATTTTAACACAGCGTAATAGAAGTAATGCTATTAAAAATACTTAAAAATTAGTGTATTTTTATACGAACAAAATAATGATGTTATCATTAAAATATTCAAGTGAAAATAAATTTAGTTTACTAATAATGAATATTCCAATTTAATCTAATAAATAATTAGATCCTTATTACTTAAATACTATCAAGTTTAAATGCTATATTGTTGTTATATATATATAATCATATATAAATCAGATTATTTAAATGTAATATAATAAAATGACTGACATTACTTATTGACTAACTATTTGACTTATTTACATGTTTTCTCGAGAGAAAAAGAAAAACGAAATGTTATTTGCTCGTTCCTATGAATGAAAATTTTGTACATTTCATGAGAATTGTAGCTTTATAAACATATTTCGTAAGGAAATCTTTACTTTTCTTAGATGTATGTTTCACCATTGTCATTTCTCAGCCAAGGATCGTAAACTTTTCTATGGCGCAATCTCACGGATGACGTAGAGATGAATTTAACGGCGTATAACAAAAGCATCGTCGTGGGAATGAAATCGCGAAGTATCTGTGCGCGCGCGCGCGAGCGAAAAGCTTTAATAAGATTTTAAGCATAAGCGGACTTAAATTTTCGTCAAATTCTACCGAGCGTTATTTCGTTAAGAATTTCGTTGAAATTATTTCGCTTTTCTCTTGACTCCTTCGAAAATTTCTCCGACTAACTTTTCTTTCCTATATAATGCAATAAAATTAAAAATAATCGGTTAGTTTTGCAAGATTCTTCTATTTTGAAGAATAATTCAAAGTATGAGACTATCAAATTTCATTGTTAATGGTTAAAAAAAAAATACAACTTCCCATAAAATTACAGAATATAATGAATAAAAATTTTGGTAGGATAATAGGGTTGATATTCGAGGTTATTTGACCTAGATAAGAAAATATCGATACTGGAATTGCAGCATGCGCGAAATAAAGTAAAAGAAAGATAAGAGAACAACGTGAAGAAGAATGCGGTATTAGAGAATTGAAGTATATCCTTATAAAAAGACACTTTTTCTCAATTTTGAACAAAGTGTTGGTTCAAAACAAACGCTGTGTTTACTTTTGACATATCTGACAATATGAGAATAAAATTAAATGGAATATGAAAATAAAAAAAAAATATATTAACGAAAAAATTATGTAGTACGAGAATGAGAAATGTTTTAAAATTATTTACCGAAATAAAATTGTCAAACAATTTGTACAAATAAATAAATTTATTTATATACGAGACGATCAAATGTGCAAATGATTTATCGATCAAATTTTTATTCCTTTATAAATGAAAATGAAAAACACGCAGAGAAATTTGATGACAAATTAATTTTCGTATAACCAATGAATGGAAATAAAAAAAAGAGGACAAGAAAAAAGTAAGAACATTCGTTCGTTGAAAGAAATCAGCAAAGTAGTACAAAACGTAGAAGGTCTCTTCAGGTCAAGGCACGCATCGACTAACAGAAATTAAAAATCGTAAGGCAAAAAGAATTCGCTTTTCTCGTTGCACGCGTAATTATTTCATAGCACGTGCAATCGAATACGTGATCGTCGATCGATTATCCGTGCTGTGGTTGAATGAATTTCATGAAAAGAAAAATAGATCCTTTCGAAAATCAGTTTCATGTGAAGCAACTCGACAAAATATCTCGAGAACCGAGGACTCTTTATACTCTTCAAATCGATATTTGATTGTGATAATAGTCGAATGAACGCAGAAACAAATGAAGAAAGAATGTACAGAAAAATAGAAAAGAAACAAATCAAATTTTACAAACACACAATTGTGTGTTTCTTTTTATATTAATATTTCAAAAATTTCTTATTAGTTAAAATGTAATTGTGAATAAATAATTGATGGTAATAATAATATGTTGGGTTGGCAAGAAAGTAATATTTCACACTAAAAAACCGAAATTACTTTCTTGCCAACCCAATATATACTTGATCTATAATATTGTATTAGAATAGTACAAATAATCGACATATTTTAAATAAAGGAACATAATAAAATTCTTCTATATATATTGTAGAAAATTGCATTTCTGCGATTTGCACGTGTCAACCACTTATCATTAATCTCGAACTTTCCCCCTCGTAACTCGCTAACACGAAACTATCTTCATAGGTATATATATTTTCCATGTTATCGTTGGAATTCTAATTCCGTTTTAAGTCGCACGATCGAGTTTAAAACGCTTTATATCTGAAACTTTGTTTCGGGATAAATTAATCAACCTAAGACTACTAAGGTTACTGTTTCGAAAAAAAAAATACAAAGAAAATGGGATTAAATAAATTGTCAGAAAAAAATAAAAGGTTTCTAATTAAAAATGATTCATTTTATACAATTCGTGAGATATATATTTGAATTAATTTTTTCAATTGTCTTGCTTGTTAGTTTTTCCTTACATTTTTTTATCGTAGGAAAATGAAATGACATAAATTTCGTTACGTATAAAGAATATTCGTAAATTTGCTTGCATGGAAAACCTTAAAAAAAAAATATGATATCCAAAGCATTAGACGAACGTTATTTAATTGCATAACGCGTTACCATTCTGTATCAACGATTTACTTTTCTTTCTTTCTCTCTCTCTCTCTATCATCTATCTATCTACCTCTCTCTCTCTCTCTCTCTCTCTCTCAATGTCAATTTTGCTCGACAAAAGCGCGGGAGTACATTGGTTCGACAAAGAAGCCAATCAAGAGAGTCGATACCGACGCATAGACTAAATCAAAATTCACCGCACACACTTAACGAACGCAAACAAAGTGATACACCGAGTTTACATTTCACTGAGATCAGTGCATTAGTCGATCAAAGTTCGGCAACAAAATTCATTGGTTCTATTTTAACGAGCCAATTTCCTTGAAAATTCGCTTAACTGTTAAAAAATCGTACGAAAGAAATTGTTATAAAATAAAAAACTAATAGAAAAATACGATTACTTTTTTTTTTTTACATAGATAAATACGTAACACGAACAACTTGAACTTTCTTTTTCATCGAGACAACTTTTATTCTAACAAAAAAAAAATCCAAGAAGAAAAAAAAGATTCGTTCGTTCGTTCGTTCGTTAGTTTCCTGCTTTTTAACACATTTATATCGAAAGTACTACGAGATTTATTACAAGCTAAATTCAATCCAAGCCAATTGGATTGTGAGGCCTTATAAAAGAAGAAGAAAAAAATGAATCGAGAAGGAAGTTATGTTTTCCCCTTACCCAATAGCTCACTCGGAGATTGAATTCAACTCCTCGAAGGATACAGCAAATAATTTAAGGATTCGATCAGCAGGAACCGAAGCAACTTAGTTTTAATATCTTTCTTATCATTGTTTTCATATGTTTATCTTTCTCTCAATTTCTTTCAAATTCTCTCTCTCTCTCTCTCTCTCTCTCTCTCTCTCTCTATCTATCTATCTATCTATCTATCTATGTATCTCTTTCTCTCACCTTATTGAAACAACGTTCTTCCTTCTCTCTCACCACTGACTCTATCGAAGTAGAAGAAAAACAAAAAAAAAACTATTAAGCCGAATATAACAAATATATTCGTGAAAACGCACCAACAAAGAGACTTTTCCTATTTTTCTCAAATGCACTATTTGAAGAAGAAGAAAAAAGAAAAACAACAAAAGTTCTTATTTCGGATAAACAGTTAGGATGAGAAAAACAAAATTATTGAACCGGGAATACCATCGACAAGTAGACCGAACACCTTCGACGGTCGACGGTGTACTGCCGTCGACGGCTAGTTCAACTCGAAAGAGCGATGTCTACCTTGCCGACGCAAGCGTCCTTGGACCGAAAACGCGGATCACTGATGGTCTGTTTGAGTGGGGAGTAGTATGCTATAGAATCCGAACAGAGAGGGTTGAACGAAGAAAGAAAATGTAAAAGTGAGAGAGAGAGAAAGAGAAAGGCTATGAGAAAGGTAGGGAGTGGGTTGGAGGGGGTGGCACAAGCTCATCGGTCGTGTAGATACCTGTTGAATGTACCTCAACGACGAAGCCTTACACGTCGACCGCTTGGTTGGCCGCTCGAGTAGAGGAAACAAGGACGAGGAAACAATTCTGAGACCATCTCTAACCTAAGATGAAGCAGGAACGACGAATAAGAGAGAAAACTGAAATAGACTGATGCGAGTGAGATAGAGATAGAAAGATCGTAACATCTCGTGAAGCAGCAATATAGAAGGATTCCCCTAAACAAACGTTCACAGTCGATCAGAGATTCGAGAATCTCTTAGGACCAGACTGACCCTCAAAAATACTCCATTTACGATGATCCAACACAGTAATTTCCAACCATTTATCTTTCATTAGCCAATATCTTCCTCGTATTATTCTAACGTGTAATTATTGATATGATCTAATCGTATTTCCGTAATACGAATTTCCTAAATTCTCAATTAATTTAATTACATTATTTAATAGATCTTGTTCTAATAATATTCACGTTTATTCGTAAGATATTTATAAGATATAATAGAATTAATATAAAGGTTTTTGAATATAAATATCTAAATAAAAATAATGTATGTATTTTGTATTCTTTCTCAAATACGAAGAAGAATTTTGCATAGTTATAGAAAAGTGAACAAATTTGAAGGGAAGTAACTCGATATATATGTATTACATATATACATATATACTATATAATGCATGCTACATTTTGATCGAAGTGACGCATATCAATCAAATGTATCTCTGTGTGTGTGTGTGTATGTAAACTCCTCTGCGACATTGCTCAATAACATGGTAATGTAGAACACAGGGTCGAATCAAAATATTCGCGCATGCGCTTAAATTTTCCAATGTTAGGTATAACGTATATCAAATAATTTGGTTAAAAATCGCTAGGAATAGCACCTTTACTTCATTTTATCGAGTAGAAGATTGTGTGTTTATGAAACTTATCAACGTAAGAAGAGAGAGACAACGTATATATGTTATGTAAACGGCAGTAAGACGCCACGATAAAGTGCCCGTGGGGCTTTTCAGAGTCAACTCCTTCCCTTTCCTCCTCATCCTCCTTTCATTTCGATTCCTCATCCTCTTCCTCCCCAATCCCCTCTTACTCCCAGTTCCTCTCTTCCTTCGTTGATAATGACTCGTGTATTCGTATCTCGTCGAGATTTGTAATAAGATTTCTTCAAAAGATGCATACTTTATGTTTCAAATGAACTACTGTACTTAATCTTAATATTATATATATATAAGTATGTATATAACGAATTTCTTTTTAATATTTTAACACTCTATAAAACCGAATAATCCTTTTTAAAGTTAACGCAAATTTACCCCCAGATTTTAAGGAGATTTAAAAAAAAAAAGTACAAGTGTCGGAGAACAATTTTTATTCAATATTTTATAAATAATAATTTTTCATTATAAAAAAATATCACGAGACTAAAGATATATCTGGTTTTTATTATTATATTTTCTAACATATTTTTCATATTTTTTTGAAATGAATAAAATTAATTACAGGAAAATAAATCTATATATACCTCCGACGAAAAGTGGTGACAACAAGTGTTTGTAAATCTGACCCATCAAGGTATTATAAGTATAATAAATTATGATATCGTAGGAAAAAAGTCGTGAATTTGTAGACATTCATTTGGCCGAAAGTTTATCGATAAGCTACGAATACCAAGAATATGTATACATGTAACATGTAAGTACATATATACAAAGTACATAACATACACATACACATATATATATATATATATATATATGTTAACGATAAAGAAAGAACGTATCTTCTTTTCTCACTAGATTTCACCAAGAAGATACGGAAAGAGGGAACGGAAAGGGGTATATAATATTTTGGCAAACAGAACGTGATGATTCACCGAAGTAAGAAAGACCGTGTCGAGAGTGCGAAGGACTTCGTTAAAGAAACCTAGCAGCAAGAGGATATCGTTGAATCTTTAAAACCAAAGGGATCTAGAACTACTGAAATATTTTCTATAATAAAAATGTAAAAAAGAACGCGGAAACAAAATGTAAAAGATAAACAATTTTATTCGAGACATTTTCTGTTTTAAAATCTTTCCTTTAAACGAATAAAAATAATCGAATTATTTTATTTTTATTAATATATTTCAAATGCAACTACTTATGACTACAGGTAATACAAATAATAATAGTTATTACATTAAAAACAATAATAATAAAAAATAGAAAATCATAACGTTTTCGTAGGCACGATTATTATCATTAAAAGAAGTACAATTAAATATTACCGGCGAGTGGATTACGAAATCTTAACGACCTCGTCATAAAAAATACCATTTGATTATACTATTCTGCACGCAAGATCGTCATACTCGTTTCCTTTAACGAGTAATCAATCTAAAATATACGTTTTTTTCCTCGAAACATACGACAGAACGACGTAATTAAACAGAAAATAAATGATGATAATTTTCCAAATAACATTTAAAAAAAAATAATAAAAGAATATACCGTGGCTTCTTATTCTAACTTCTCTATAATGTGGCTATTTTGTTGGATGACAATTTTTCAATTCAACGTCATCGTTAATTAAAAACGTTAAAACAAATGTATTTTAGTTTAAACAATCAAAAATATTAATAGAGTACATTACAATGCTCGATATACCATAAATAATTAATAAATTATCGAAAGAAATGTGTATCGATGTTTAAAAGCACAGTATATATGTTCGGATCACTATCTTCCTCGAAATTCACCTTTAGACTGGCACGTTGTCTTCTATGAAAGTACTTTTATTCAATATTGTTTATAACTTTCCGTAAAAGAAAATTATATTCATTACAAGTATTTCGTACATTATACATATACAACTTTCGAAAAGTCATATAAACTACACTGAATAAAAGAACTTTCATAGAAAACAACGGAATCAGTCTAACGGGGGATTTCGAGGAATACGATGCATTCAACCTATATTCCGTATTTTTATACTAAGTATAGTTTCTTCGATTAATAAACAATCATTTACGATTTATCGAACACTCTCAAGGTACATTACATCCCTAATCATTCTTCCATAAACAGTAATCTACCCATAACTATCGACCGATATATTTATCTCATAGATACAAACTCACTCATAACAATTAAACTACCATATTATTATAATTTCATTGAACTTACCAATAGACTGTGAGTTCTATCTCACTCTCTATTTCTCTTTTTTTGTAGCATTTTATAAAATTTTATCGTTACTGTCGCTCTTAAGAAATTTCATTTAAGAACAAAAAATAAACAATTTTCAAGCTAGAGAAAATTCATAAAGTCAAATAAAATTTGAAGACATCATTGTTGAAAAAAGAATTAAAATCTGACTCGTTGACTCTTAACAGTCTTACAAATTCCTCCCAAAGTTGACAAGGAAGCACTCACTCCATGAGCGAACTATTATTACGGATAAATTGAAACGCAATCTTGAGGATTACGCGTACTGCCTTAAAATCTTGGGTATTCATCAGTCGGAGTCGCGGGTATGCGTTAACGTAATTTGAAATCGTTTAAAGAAAAAGGAAGAAAGACCGAGGGTAAGAGCGAAGGTTGAGAAAAGGGGACGAATAAGCCAAAGAATTAGAAAAAGAGGCAAAGTAAAGGAAAAGAGCTTATGAAGAGCAAAAAAAATAAAGATAGAGAGAGAAAGAGAGAAAGAGAGAAAGAGATAGGGAAACGTTTAAGGGCTTGGAAATTACACTCCGCGAAGGGAAGTTACGAGCTGAATTGAACTTGTGATTACGAACGAATCTCATCCCCTCCCCTCTTAACCCCATCAACGATCCGTTGGAAGATATAACGTGGCTAGCGAAAAAGACGATTGATGGACCGAAGGGAAAGAAGACGAAAGGAAGCGGAAATGTTTTCTTCTCACGACGATTGCTGCAGGAATTAGAGAGAAAAAATAAAAAAAGAAGAAAAAACGACAAATTTCTTTAAATCAACCTTTTGATTATTTATCAACTACGATAAATTTTATCGGTTTGATATAAGGAATTATTTTGATGTATCGTCCAATTTTACGAACAATACAAATAAATCTAAAAGTTATTAAATATTGTTTTATATTCGTTATAAATTATCGCTGATAAACTTGAAGATTCTTGGATTAATCAATAAGTGTTTTAAATTGCCAAAATAAATAAATTTTTTGTTATAAAAGTAAAGTGTACGTAATATAAAATGTTAATTAATTCTTAGAAACAAAAATGTTGTGCGATATATATCAATCCAAATAAAATCGATTCGACATTAAACGTATTAAGTACTATTATACGTATATAATATATAAAATGAACGAAGCAAAATATACATATATATTTTGTAGGTACATAGCCGAATTCTAATTACAGTTCACATGTCGTCATTTAGATTTATTTCGAGAATACAAAAGCTTCGAGAATTTCTATAGGGGACACTATACTAACGTGAAGTAAGACGTGCTTCCAAGCTTTCATTGAATAAGTTATTCAATGAAAGTCCTACTAAAGCACGGAAACTTTGTTCCTCCTTGATTTCAAGGTACCTTGTGTCTTGTACGAAATTCGTTGTCGAAGAGAAAGAACAGACCAAGAAAATCTACGATTCGCGTCTCGCAGTCGAAGACAAATCGTTGTCACGATTCGAAATTTTCTGAACATTGAACTTATTGATTACCATTGAAATAATCTAAAGTTGGACAATGTATCAAGTTAGTTATTTGAAAATAAAGAAACTTTCCTATTTTCTTTTTTCGTTTTCCTTAAAAGTAACGCCTCGGTAAATTGTATCAAAGTAATTTATGATTACATTTCCAAATATTCTAATTATATTTGTTTCCTTTTTTTTATCTCTATTTTTTGGAAGAACAATAAAAAATTTGTTTTTCTTTTATTACCACGTAATATTTATATACAAGTTACATTTCTATATTTATTAACAATTTAATCTCTGTCACAAGATTACTTTACATATTAAAATCAATGTTTTCATTCGTCGTTTCCAAAACCGATTTCCATTCAAATTCGGTATACAAAAGTAAAAGCAAATATCCTAGTCAATATTTTCCTGATGCGAGTGAATCTTTCCAAATGGACGAACCCGTTCTATATTTATAGAGAGAAAAATATTTATTATTTTGTTCATTTATATTGATACCAAAAATTTGTTTCAAATCGATTAATAACTTATTTCATTTAAAAGTTTTCTCTTTAACAAAAGAAAAAGAACATATTCTTAATCCTATTCTTTTTTTTTCTTCTCTTTCCACCGAGACATAAACTTCTCGTAATCCGAGGCCGAAGTATAAAAAGAAAATAATGGGTAATAAAAAAGTAAAAGACAGTAAGTAATAGCCACGGTAAGATCGCATTATCGCGAAAGGTTTCCATGGGAACCGTCCCTTTATAACGGTGAAAAAAATTTAAAAGGTATCCGACACCTTTGAAGTTTGACAAATCTTAACTTTTCAGCTCTTTCCTTCTTTGGAATATCTTGTAAAAAGCTGAATTTAATTGTAACATAAAAAAAAAAAATAATACTCCATGAAGTAGAAAAGTGTAATTCACTGATTTTCACTTTAATCTTATCGTTGTTTACAAGTTATTTGAATATATTCCATAACTTCGTTTTAAACTTTGAAAATCTTGTAAATAAAAAAAAACTTTCAAACTATTATAACTTACACAATATTAAATATGAATCAAATAAAACAAAAATAAAGAAAGAAGAAGATAAAATTGTTAAAGAAATAGAATATGAAGAATTGCGTCAAGATTTGGTATTTTTTAGACGAAATAAATAGAAGTATTATTTATTTATTTAATAAAATTGTACAGTTCCTACTACGTAGAGGAGAGCTAAAAATTACAAAACTCAGTGCAAATTTTCATCAAGATTGTTTCATACTTACACGAAACAAATGGTAGTAATAACTATATAATATAGTAGAAACGTAACTGCGTCTTATACGTAGAAAAGTACTGAAAAATTCAGAATGAGTTTAGCATGTGAAGGCATTGTACGAAATAGAATGACTCGGTATTCTGTAAATTGCTCTTAATTCTTACGTATTATCGAGTCTAGATATTCTTATCTAAACGCAATAGAGACGTTTGCCAAGTAAAACTAGATTAAAACGAGACAAAAAGCAAGAGGTGGAAAGTGAAGTAAAACGAGAATATAGAAGAAGAAGAAGAAAAAGAGAGAGAAGGTAGAGTCAATAAACGAGCATGGCGACGTGGAAAAGAGTCGTAAGGCGCAAGCAAGGATACGTCAAAAGGTTCTCGCGCACAAGTCGGGCGGCAAATGAGCCAAACAGCCCGAGGGAAAAGGTCGTCGTCAAAAGGGAAGGCAAAGTAGCAACGGCAATGGTGGCAGCAACAGTAGCAGCAGCAGCAATGGCCAAGGTAGCGATAGCATAGTAGCAACAGCAGAAGCTTAGCGTCCGTACAAGGTGAAATTCTTGACTTTGCCCTCAGGACGGTGAATTACCACCTAGCACGCCTCCTAGATTGCTATTCGCGCGCCCCACCTCGTTTTCTTCATCCCCTTACAGCACCGATGAGACCGCTGTGTTGCTACGAGACGTTCGAAGAGGGTTCCGTTTCAACCTTATTAACATCTTTTATCAGTTTACACCGTGACTACACGTATAAGAAGAAAATGTTTTAGAGTTTGGGAGATGTTACTCCTTTTTTCGTAAAATTTGTAAAAAGTAAATAAATAAAATAAAATAACAAAATTAAAGCTAAGAAAAATATTTCGTTAGATATTTGCTAGAAAATATGATTCTTTCACGATTTTATCTTACTTCTGTGTTTACTCTTCCTTCTCGCATTTCATCGTACTTCAAGAATGAAATTTTTCCTTCTTTTTTTTTCTTCTTTATTTTCCTTTCTTTCTTTTTTTTTTTTTTTAACCCTTCATTGCCTATTCTTAATGCTCCGGATAATGTCTCGAAAATGGACGTTTGTATTCATGCCTCGCACATTCAGAACGCGTA